CTGGCCCTGGCGCGGCCCGAGCGCTGGAGACTGACAGGTACCTGCCCCTGCCCGGTCCCGCGGCGCTGCCTGCCCCTCAGCCATTGTGACCTGCCCTGCCCGCTACAGTCTGTGCCCCCCTCCCCGCGTGGCACCTGCACCCCCTTGTCACAGGGCCCCCGATCCTCGCATGCAGCTGTCACCACAGTCCCCACATACCCCTGGCACCCGGCCCTTACCCACAGAGAGGGACGGGGAAGGGATCAGCACAAGGCTGCTCACTTGTCAAGAGTCACAATCTTTGTGAGCAGGTGAAGGAATAATGTAGTGACACTAATGTAGATTTGGAGTAGAAATGAGTCTCCAGGGGATAATATATCGTGGGTCGCCCTTTTCTGCAGGGGTGGGGAACCTAAGGCCTGGGGGCTGAATCCGGCTCCTGGCTTGCCTGGATCTGGCCCCTGAGGCTCGCTGCTCCCCCCCCCCCCCCCAGCATTGGGGAACCCACACTGGCACACAAGCCCCTCTAAGGGTCCCTCCATGGGTATGGAGTGCCAGCTCCTCACTGTATGGGGGCAAGCCCCAAGCCTCTCTGTCCAGAGTCAGGCAAGCCAGAGCTGATCTAATCCATGGGCTAATCTCTGTGGGCTGCTTCTTCACTCAGGCTCCTCCCCCATCAGAGTGCAGCATTGGAGGCTTTTCCACAGCTGCTCCAATTGGCTGTAATCATGGCCAATAGGAGCAGCAGGGGATGGAGCTTGGAAGCAGTGGGGGACATGGGCCATGTGCATCCCTGGGGAACTACACCAGGTAAGTGTTCCTGTCATTGCCCAGACCTCCCACCCCAAACCTGCTTTCTGGCATCCCCCTTCTACACTGAACCCCTTATTTTTGGTCCACTTCAGAGCCCCTGGGGGCCAACAAAATCTACTAGCCTAGGCCCCCTTTGGCTCTGGTGTGAGGGGAGAGTGTCTTTGTGATTCTGTCAGGGACCATGTCCATGAGATTTTTTTTTTAATGCTTTTCACTTTTGGGTGACCCCCAACTGATTTTTTTTTTTATGTGGATCAGTGGCTCCCAACCCAAAAAAAGATTCCTCATGACTGCTTTAACAGAAGAGGTTTGCCATGCTGCCTTGCATGGCTGGCTGGTGATGCAATGCAAAGCTCAATTGTTTAGCTTTGCACAATAGCTATATTTTGAATGGGAATTCATCAGAGGCAATGGCAAATAGTGGAAACACCTTAAAGGTAAAAAATAAACATTCCAGCAAGGCTGGGGTTTGCCTTTTCTGTGGATAGAAACAAAAGGCTGTTTCAGTATGATACAGAAGAGGGAGTAAAAGTCATATCCATTCACTGAGGAAACCCCCTTGTGGAACAGGGCTGGAACACTTACGCTGGAAATTGGAAGGTTTCTGACAGAAGAGTAAGGTTGTGGGAACAACTTTGCAATAGAAGTACTGGGGATGAACAACCTAATCACTGTTAAGATGAGGGATGGCAGATTTATGAGCAATATTATGTGATGGGGTTGCCTGTGATAACAGGAAGATTGGATATGATAATCTGTTTCTATAACCTATTTTCTTTTTTTGAGATGCCAAAATGATTAATCTAAATTACAATTAAAAACTGACATTTCAGTTAAACTGCTCATTTAAAATCACTAGAATGGTAAATGCAAAGCTAGAACATTGCTTTTTAAAATTCTGCTGTTTGGTGGCCTATAGGGAAGTGGATTTGCTTAAAATGTAGGGGTGGGGAGTTGTTTGTTTTTGTTTTTTAAAACCTCTTCCACCTTTAATACCAGGTTTTGGCCTGAAGCAATTTTTTTTATATTGCCAAGTTACAAATGATTGGCATCCTTTTGTCTGCGGGAGATAATGGGAATTGCAAACTGTGATGTAGATGGTTTGCAATGGATCATGTGACTGAATAGTACAGTCCGAGATTTGGTCTTTGGCAGTTATTGTGTCTTGTATGTGTCTTGGTTGGGAGCTGCTTGCTTCTTAGACTCTGCTCTCTTTAAGCTGTAGGAGCCAGACTTTGTCATGGATTTTGATGCCCTGATCGAGACAATGGTGTCACTTACTGTGATCACTTTCCAAGATTTCCAGTTGTTCAGGGTTGGCTCCAAATTATTTCATGTTTCACTTGCATACAGAGGCAGCCCGAGTCAGAATGTGCGATCGGCACCTTCACCTCCACAGCCCTCAGTGGCGTGATGCCATCATTGGGCTCCCCGTTTAACACAGTGCCCTAGGCAATGTCCGAGTCGGCCTATATGCACGGGCCGCCCCTGCTTGCATATGTTTTTATAGTGAACTGTGGGACGGTCTTGTTTTCTGTAATAGCTCTCCATATAGCATACTGATACAGCGGCAGCAGCGTGGGGTGGCAGCCGGCTCTCTGGGACCTGAGGTATAACCATTTGGGTAACAGATAAGCTCATGCTTATCGGTTTCCCATTTAAACGGGTACGCTTTTACATCCCTACTTCTAGCTGGCTTACATTTAGGGTGATTAAAAGAACTCCCCTCTCCTGATTGAAAGAACTCCCCTTTCCAATACAACTGTTTTCTGGCTGCTGATTATGAGAGCAAAGGCCAGACCAGCACTTCAAGTTGTCCATGAGTTCTTGTAGATCTTCATTGTGGGTAATTAGAGCAGCATTATTAGCAAACAGAAGTTCCCTGATTTGCACCTGCCAAGTTATAAACACCTGAAAATCATTAACAATGAAAATGTCTGCAGTAATTTAATTATAGGAGAAGTAGCAAATACAATTGTAGATGCTTCTGTAAGGGGAAAAATGAAAATTTCCCGTGCTGTTTTTCTTTTTGCTCATAACTTACTTTTTTTTTACTAGGGTTTACAACAATCTTGTTACTACTGTGGGTTGGGAAATTGACCCTTAAAGACTTTTTTTGTTGCTTGGTATTACTTTTACTTTTATTTGACAGAGTTTTTTGTAAAAGGATAGAGGTTTACTGTTTGGTAACAGATTTGCTGTACAAGACACTTTGGATATAAAATGCTGGTTAATTCCTTCTTCTAAATTCTTAGCTGATACAAATGGCAAACAAATGTTTTAATGTCTATACTAGAAGATTTACTGGGTATTGCTTGAGTCTTTGAGGGCAAGGGACTGGCAGTGTGGGGGGTGCAGGAGTCAGGTAAAGAGTTTTGGGTGTGGGGGACTCGGGGCAGAAGGCTGAGGATTAGCGAGTACAGGAGTCAGGGTTGGGGGTGAGGAGTGGCTCAGGGCAAGGGAATGAGGGGTACAGGAGTCAGAGCATGGGGTGAGGAGGGACTCTGGGCAGGAGGTTGGGAGGAGGGGGGCTTAGTGGAGGGGTTTGGGGGAGCTGTGACCCTGTCCTGTGGCTTTTCAGTGGGGTGGGGGAATGGGTGATCATGCACCTTGCCTTCAGGCTTCTCCCCAGAGCCAGCCTGAGATGGGGGGAGGGCTACAAAGGCTAGCCTGAGGGGTGGGGGTGAAGGAAAGGGGCTGTACAGGCATCTGGCCCAAGCAGTGCTTCCTGGCCTGGCCTGGCCTGGCCTGGCGGCGGGAGAGGGGCTACACTGGCTGGCTCAGGTGTGCAGGCAGGGGCCATGCTGGGGATGGGGTGGGCTGTGCCTTCTCCAGGGGTGGGATGTTCTGCCCAGCTCCAGCAGTGGGTCCATCAGGGCTCCTCCCCTCCATTTGGCGCTGCGGCTGAGGGCTAGAGGGAAGAGGTTTGGGGCAATATGGCAAGCCCTGGCCCCAGCTAACCACTCTCTTCCTTGTGCAGCCACCTCCCTGTGATCGCTCTGTAGAACAGCTGTCCCCCATGCTTGCCGCCCCCAGTGATTGTTGCGGAGCATAACTGTCCCTCCAAACAGACCCCTTCCTTTTTCATGTTATGGAAAACAATGGAATTCCAGGCACATCCCATTGCTTTAAGGATAAGGGGAAGCTGCATACCAAATTTGGTGGTTCTTCCACTTACTGTTTAGGAAGAGTTCTTGAACAAATGGACTCATGGATGGATAGATGGATGGATGGGCGAACTCATGGACATAGACAGATGCACAAACTCTCCAAAATATCTACAGTATATAGATTATGTACAGTTTTGTTTTATTGAAGTAAAACTCCTCAAAATCCCTATATTAGACATAAAGGATAGTGACACCTCTCTGACACAGCACATCCGTTCAAATGTTAATTAATGTTAATTAAAAATATGAGTACATGCCAAGTAGAAGATTTACTCCAGAGTTATTCTGTTGTTTTGTACAATGAAGTTACAGAGTTCTTAATTCTGTAGTGTCTCCAAGTATTAAGAAGGGTAACTACTATAAAGAAGATGGCTTCAAGATTCCTTGTTTACCTAATTGCATGAGATCAATCAGGTGTCTTCAGCTATCTAGGATGGCACCTAGATCACATAAGTTTAAAAACAGAAAATATGAGATCAAGATTATAAGGGTATGTCTAGACTAAGGTTTTTTTTGAAAGGAGAGATGCAAATTAGCACCAAACTTGCATATGTTTTTCCATTGGATTTTCGAAAGCGGGTCTTTCGAAAGTGAAAGCAATCTGGATGCAGTTTTTTCGGAAAAAACCCTTTTTCGAAAAAAAAAAGCTCTTCCTAAAAAAGGAGGTTTACGTGGTTTTTCAAAAAAGTTTTTTTTTTCTGAAAAAAACATGTACAGGCTATTTTCACTTTAGAAAAACCTGCTTTCGAAAAGGCGATCAGAAGAAGATATACAAATAGTGCAAAATTTGCATATCTCCTTTCGAAAAAAAAAAAAAACACCTAGTCTATAAGTACCCCAAGAGTTAAATATAGAAAAAAATATATGAGATCAAATTCATCTCCTGGAGAGAGAGGATGTATTAATTATAAAACTGATATGCTTTATCTTGCATTGTGTTCTAAGTCCTAAAAATGTCTTTTACTTCAATTTCTTTTGTTTATATTCCTGATCATTTCCCATCTCATGTGTCTTCTGTGCTTTGTCCAGTCCTGCACCCTGATTATTTGTACTGGTTGAACCTCTCTCGTCCGGCACCCTCGGGACCAGACCGGTTCCAAATGAGAGAGTTTTCTGGATCACGGGAGGTCAGTGTTTTCTAGCAGCATTACCTACACTTCCACTGCTTACTGTGATTTTAGAGGACATTTAGGGGTACATTAGAGCTAAATAACAGCACAAGACACTGAGAGCTACTACTGGAGACTGTAAACAAACTTTACGAGACTGTGGGAAACTTGGCCACACCCATGAAAAGTGGACATCTGGCTAACTAAAATCATTCTGGATGACGGCTGTTTCTGGATAAGAGAGTTCTGGACAAGAGAGGTTCACCCGTACTTCCATTCCTGAACCTGGATGCAAAACTAGAGAGCTACGTCTACATTGCCCCATTTGCACAAGAACATATGCAAATGAAGTGTGGCGATGAATATTACCATGCCTCATTTGCATATTTAGTGAGCTGCCATTTTTGCGCAAGATGGAGCAGTCTACACGGTTCCTTTTTGTGCAAAAACTCCCTCTTGCGCAAGAGCTGTTATGCCTGAAAATAAGCAGCAGAACAGCTCTTGCGCAAGAGGGGTTTTTTGCGCAAAAGGGCAGCTCATTAAGTATGCAAATGAGGTGTGGTGATATTCATCGCCACGCCTCATTTGCATATGTTCTTGCTCTCCATTAAAGAGTGTATCTCTTCTCTGTAAATACTCAATGCTTATTTGCTCAGAGTAAAAGACAAGTGTTTCCCCATCAGGTTCTTCAGAAAGTGAGTAATGTTTTGCAGTTGCGTGCTCGTTCACCATACTCACTTCCCCATAAGTGGCCATAACAAATATTGATCTCATCACCTTCTGTTCATGCTGATAATTTTATTTACTTTTCACTTGTGGCAAATGACACTTTCTCATTCTTCTAAAAAGCTGTATAGAATTGCAGGAAGTGGTTGTTTTTATATCTTTGCAAAGGAAATTTCAAAGCCTATAAAACATTTAAAAAAAATCTTAGTTAAGGAGTAGTATTATCATAACTTTATCCATGCTAATTTTTCAGACCTACAATATGTATCTCTGATCTTACTCAGAAATTGGTCTCCGATGCACTTGTTCGGTACAGGCAGTCCCCGGGTTACGTACAAGATAGGGACTGCAGGTTTGTTCTTAAGTTGAATCTGTATGTAAGTTTCAGCAGCTGCTGAAACTGACCGCCAGTTCTGACTTACATATAGATTCAACTTAAGAACCCCAGGCATCCCCAAGTCAGCTGCCGCTGGAACTGATCAGCGGCTGATTCCAGGAAGCCCGGGGTAGGGGCTTCCTG